TCTAAAGATTTAGGAGTAAACAACACAAGTCCATGCACATGGACCTTACGTGTGTGTGTGGGGGGGGGGAGTGCAACAGAAAAAAATAAAATATGAAATGTTGATGAGGGGGACCACTCAGGTGGTTAGGATGGGCAACCAGGAAGAGGTGACAAATTTCAAGAAACCTTGCACTTGTAACAGAGGCTCAGTACACGACATCCACTAACATCATTATCATTAGTACAAAACAAAGTACTGTGTGATTTTGTTTTGGGTGAAGACTCTGCCATCAAAATGGCTTAAATGCCCCAATATTCTTCCTTTATTACTCTCTCAGAGGACCACCACAACCTGGATACCATTTTTTTTATTTACTAGAGGCCCGATGCATGAAAATTCTTGCCCTCAGCCCGGCCTGCACCCTCTCACAATCCGGGATCCCTCAGGTAAGGTCCCTAGGCCAGGGCCTATCGGGGCTTTCCTTCCCCCAGCTGCAGGCAGCTGGCCCCACCCCCACCACTGCCACTGCTTGCCATCTGTACCCTCTCCCCCCTGCCCCCCACCACTGGTGGCCTCCCTCTACAGGCAACAGGTGTGGGGGGCAATGGCTTGTCTGGGCCTCCCTCTGCGGGGCGATCATTGGCCGCCACACACCTGCCACGGAGTCGCTGCCTCCGGTGACCCTGGGCCTCCCACTTTCTTTGCTGGGGAGTGGGGCCAGCCCTGAGAGGGGCCGTCTGCATACCTGAACTCCCCTAACCACTCACCTGGCTACCTGATCACCCCTAACCACTTGCCTGCCTACCTAATCACCCCTAACTGCTTGCTGGGGGGGCGGGGCCAGCCCTGCAAGGTGCCATTTGCCTACCTGATCGCCCCTAACCGCTCACCTGCCTACCTGATCACCCCTAACCATCTGCCTGCCTGCCTGATAGCCCCTAACCACTTGCTTGGGGACGAGTCCAGCCCGGCAAGGGGCTGTGGTGGTTCTGGTCTCTGGTCATTCAGGTCATTACGCTTATGGTGACTGGCCTTTTATTATACAGGATTTTTAATGAATTTATTAGAGTGACATTAGTTAATAAAATTATATAGGTTTCAAGTATAAAATTCTATAATACATCTGTATACTGTATTATGTGTTTACCCCTCCAAGTCAAGTCTTCATCACCATTTATCTCCCCCATACTCTCTTCTAAATCCCACTACCCCTTTCCCTCTGGTAATCACCTTACTATTATTGTCTGTGTCTATGAGTTTGGTTGTGTGTGTGTTTTTTGCTTAATTCCTTTACCCTTTTCACCCAACCCCACAAACCCCTCAGCTGTCAGCTGCTCTCTGTATCTATGAATCTACTTCTATTTTGTTTGTTAGTTTATTTTGTTCATTAGATTCTATATATAAGTGAAATCATATGGTATTTGTCTTCCTCTGACTGGCTTATTTCACTGAGTATAATACCTTCTAGGTCCATCCATCGGAAAAGGTAAGCTCTCCTATTTTTATGGCTGAGTAGTATTCTATTGTGTAAACACACTACAGCTTTTTTATTCACTCCTCTACTGTTGGACACTTGGGCTGCTTCCAAATCTTGGCTATTTTAAATAATGTTGCAATGAATATAGGGGTGCATGTATTCTTTCAAATTAGTGTTTTGGGTCTCTTTGGATATATTTCTCGAAGTGGAATCACTGGGTCATAAGGCAGTTCCATTTTTAAAAAATATATTTTTACTGATTTCAGAGAGGAAGGGAAAGGGAGAGAGAGACAGAAACATCAATGATAACAGAAAATCATTGATTGAGCTCGAAACCCAGGTATGTGCCCCAATCAGGAATCAAACCATGACCTCCTGGTTCATAGGTCAACACTCAAACACTAAGCTACACAGCCAGGGCAAGGCAGTTACATTTTTAATTTTTTTAGAAAATTCCATAAGATTTCCCATAGTGGCTGCATCAATCTTCATTTTCATTAACAGTGCATGAAGGTTCACTTTTCTCCACATCTTTGCAACATTGTTTGTTGATTTCTTGATGACAGCTTTCTGACAAGGTGATATCTATTGTAGTTATAATTTACATTTCTCTGATGTCAGACAATCTGAATAAACCAATTACAACTAATGAAATTGAAGTAATAATCACAAAACTCCCAACAAACAAAAGTCCTCAATTGGATAGCTTTACAGGTCAATTTTACCAAACATTCAAAGAACTAACACCTATCATCCTCGAACTAGTCCAAAAAATTCAAGAGGAGGAAAGACTCCCAAGTTCACTTTACAAGGCCAGCATTATCCTAATTCTAAAACTAGATAAAGACACTATTAAGAAAGAAAATTAGCCAGAACCGGTTTGGCTCAGTGGATAGAGCGTCAGCCTGCGGACTGAAGGGTCCCAGGTTCGATTCCGGTTAAGGGCATGTACCTTGGTTGTGGGCACATCCCCAGTGGGGAGTGTGCAGGAGGCAGCTGATCGGTGTTTCTCTCTCATCGATGTTTCTAACTTTCTATCCCTCTCCCTTCCTCTCTGTAGAAAATCAATAAAAACATATTTAAAAAAAAAAAAGAAAGAAAATTAGAGGCCAATATCCCTGATGAATATAGATGCTAAAATCCTCAACAAAATATTAGCAAACCGAATCCAGCAATATACTGAAAAGATCATACACCATGATCAAGGATGCAAGATTGGTACAATATCCGCAAATCAATAAATGTGATATATCCCAAACAAAATGAATGATAAAAATCACATGATCATATCAATAGAGGCAGAAAAGGCATCAGATAAAACCCAGCACCCATTTACAATAGAAACTCTCAGTACAGTGGGGATAGAGGGAATATACCTCACAGATATGGGAAACCCACAGGCAACATCATATTCAATGAGCAAAAACTAAAAGCATTTCCCTTACGATCTGGAACAAGACAGAGATGCCCTCTTCCACCACTGTTATTCAACACAGTTTAGAAGTCTACTAGAAGTCCTAGCCACAGTAATCAGACAAGAAGAACGAAAAGGCATCCAAATTCAAAGTAAGAAGTAAAACGTAATTATTTGCAGATGACATGATACTGTATATAGAGAACCCTAATGACTCTGCACAAAAATACTAGAACTGATAAATGAATTCACTAAAATAGCAGGTACAAAATAAATATCTAGAAATGCCAACAAACAGATATTTTTATAAATCAACAGTTAACAAACAGAAAGCAAAACTAAAAAAAAAAATCCCATTTACTACTGCATCAAAAAATGGGAATAAATTTAACCAAGAATGTAAAAGTTCTGTACTCAGAAAATTGTAAGACACTGAAGAAAGAAATTGAAGAAGATACAAATAAGTGGAAGCATACACTGTATTCATGGATAGGAAGAATTAACATTAAAATGTCCATACTACCCAAAGAAGTTTATAGATTCAACACAAGCCCTCCCTATCAAGATACCAATGGCACATTTCACAGAACTGTGAAGGATAAAATAATCATCAGTAATAAAATAATAGCTACCATTAAGAACGATCTTTACTCAATCAACCTAAGATCACCAGGGGTCAACAACGTTTAACAAGAGTCAGTTCACTGACTCACTGCAAGGAGAGAGCTGCCCCACGGCTCCTGGCAAACATTATCCCTAAGACTCACAGCAACCCTGAAGGTTGTATTATTGCCCTAATTTTACTCATCAGGAAACTAAAGCTCCAAGAAGGGTTCTTCCTCAAAGTCTCAGGGCTAGTAAATCCCTGCCCATCTAACCCCCAAGCCCTCACAGTGCAACACAGAATCCCTCTACCCCAGGCCCGTGCAAGCCCATAAAATGTCCCTAAGAAACTGTAAGCCAGTGGCTCGCAAACTTTTCTTCTGGCCAGTGAGAAGTGAGCAGCCAGGCAGCCGGGCGGGGCCTCTGAGAAAGCTTTGCCTTCCTCCTGAAAAGGGTCACTCTCGCTGCTACACCCTCCATCCTTCATCACTCATTCCTGCCAGGGCCACAGCCATGGTGCCTGGAGGCCCAGCTCCCACTTGAGACCATGAGGCGCTAGCATGAGGCGCTAATGCGCTAAGGAAGGTGGCACAGAGAGAACAGAAAGTGCCTGGGTCCGGGCACCTCTGTTAGCAACATCTACCTCCAGACATCTTGTCATGGAGCCACATAAATATCATTATTTAAGTCACCAGAGTTGGCTTTTTGTGACTATCAGTCAAATGCACTCCTAATTGAGGAGACAGATTCTCTGGTGACTCCCTGAGATTTCTTTCACCTGAAAGTAAGTAATTTCTACTAGAAGAAACAGGGTTTTCTCCAATTAGTCACTGCCCCCACCACACGCTCAGAATTTCCCTCACTAGAAAAACATAACTGCCACACACCTCATTGTGTGGTCCCAGGACAGATGAAAGAACTGTATC